AGTACTTATATAATTGGTATTATACTGTTGTTGGGAAATTCCTTTGGGGTGGTGATCTGTAGCTTTTGTAAACTCAAGTTCACTTCACCAGATGCTATCTTATTTAGGTAGTCTATAAAGTGTACATCTACCCTGTCTAACATTAGACTAATATGGCTAACTATACCTCTATCTGTTTTTGCCCTATTTAGAACATTTGATGAGTCTCTGGGTTAAGGCCTATCAATATTTCTGGATCACAGTGTGATAAGGGGTATTAGACTGGAAAGCCATCTGAATTCCATTCCCAGCACTCCTTCTCATCTGCTGTTATGCGTAGAGTAACACTTCCATTTTTTCCATTAGGAATAGTCAGTGTTGTTCAATAACAGTCCTCTAGGCCCATTCTGAAAAGAATGCTTAACACAATTTTCAATTTGAGAAATCCTAGGCTCATTTACATGTGCCATTAGTGTGCAGCAATAAACTCGAGCTCATGGCTCTTCGGTTTATTGCTCCTGGGAAGCACCCAGGCACACAGTTTACATGTGTGCCTAGACCGCAGTACACTGAGCTGGGTTGCAGCAGCCCCAGGTGGCAGGAGGGCCAGGGGCTCAGCCTGCCAGCCAAGGGCTGCTCCAGCCAGGCTGAATGTGCTTCAGAAGGAATGGCTGGGGCACGATGGTTCTTCAGTGCAGGACTAGCCAGCAGGCAGCCCCTGCCTGAAGCACCCTCATGCTCCAGGCAGCTGGGTCAGTGTCTACACGTGCACTGTGCACTTTTGCATATGAAAAAATTCCACAGCAGGGTACTACATAGTACTTGTACTTACAAGTACTACCCTGTTGCAGGGTTTATTAGTTTCATGTGCCCTAACAGGGTTGCATGTATAGACGCTAAGACATTTACTGCACAGTTAATGAGTGAACTTCACAGTAAAGTCTGATGTAGATGTGCCCACAGTTACCTATGTTAGTCTGAAGTCAAGTAGAAGGCAGCATAGATTTGTACCTTAGAAGCTAACCAAAGACAATATCTATATAACCTTGCCTGAATTCATACAGGGTTTACCAACGTATTGAATTTCAAAGTAGATTGCAACATCTGCTCTTTAGGAAGAATGCTCTGCAGCATTCTCCTATAGTTCATTGCTCAGTGGGTTAAACCTAAGATTAAGGTTTGACAGGGCATTTCTCTAACAATGGATCTGAACCCATTTGCCATCCAGGTGGGCATGCACAGCTGCATGGTCTTTCTGCTACGCTTTATTATTTTATGCCTTACCTAGAAGGGTCACTGTTTTACCCACGCTAATGCAGAAAGGAATACAGCGTTTGCAAATTATCACCAAGAAAAAACACCGAATAGCACGTGTTACTGCTGTATTTAATAACTGACTGCTTTATTTATCAAATAAGTATGCTATACCTACCCAAATTGCTGCTTCCAATGGCACAGTGTATTAAAGATGCAGACAGTAGCCCATGCCATTCCTGCCCTCAGATGCTTTATATGTCCTTCATTATTATTCACAGTGCTAGTTTCTCGTAGTCAAAGGCAACAGTTTGCACCTTTGAACAAATTTGAAATATAGTTCAAGTGCTTACTGATTCACTCTATTTCTAATTTAAAGCAGGAAATGGATGTGAGATACTGTGAAGTATTAAATAGCTACTTTCAAAATGTTTTTCTACTGTTATCATTATCATATTCATGCAATTACAATTACTGCCTTACTGCATACTAAGCTCAACAAATGAATACTTAAAACTATTCTGATATGCCCTCTCCCCACTGCTTAAATTAGGGTTTACTCCAAATAAGCCAAGTCCTGGAACACCTTAAACATGATGCAAGTTATCTTATTGATTTGAATGAGGTGACTCACATGACTGCTGCAAATATGATCAGCAGTGTAAGTATCCATTACTCATCTTTCTAGTATGATGGGCTGCTGTTTGAATATCTAACCCAGTCATGAGGCCAAGTTCCAGATTCAAGAAGGAACTAACTGCAATATCTGGGAACAGTGATAAAGTATCAGACAGTGAGTTTCAAAATAGATGAAAGGATTTTCTGTAATTTTTAGAGGCAGTGTTAGTAACTTAAATTGACATGCAATAAAATGTAAATGGTAACTTACATTGTTCTATTACCTCCTGTATTAGAGCTGCCTAACAATTGATTTAGTTAACTTTAAATCATGTACTAAAAAACATAAGTAAAAGCAGAAGACTAAATTAAAAAATATTTAAAGTGTTTCACTTTACCAGGGTATTATTACTAAAACCAGAAGTCCCAGCTAAGTAAATTCTTTTAGGTTTTAAAACAAAATATAGTAACATTTGGTATGGTATAGTATAGTATAGTATCTTGTAAGTATAGTAATTTGGTAAATTAGTCGCTAAAATCTTAATCAGTGCACTGAACCCCTACCAGACTTTCATTCACTTCGATGCAAAACACTTTGGATAATTCATCATTTGTTAGTATAATCGGTCACTTCCAAATGTACAGTATTACTCAATCACACTGGAATTTACTCTGACCTATGCCCTCCGCAGCACCTGTAAAGCCAGGGGCTGCTTTCTGAGTGTTGGACACTCTTCAGTTTTTCCTGGCTGAATATGGCAGACAGTTCTATACAGTATAATAGTTTATAATCTATTCTGGGGATGAGTACATGCATCTCTTTCAAAATCATGTAATTTATATTTAGCAATAAGACATTTTTAATAAGAAATTGTACATCAAACATTTATCCGAATAATACAGTTCTCAGGTAGTGACTCTGACTGCCTGCAATTGGCACTTGGAATTTTTGTAATATTTTTTCTTCATTATAAATGTTAAAAATAATATTTTATCACTTCTCAATATGACGTAAAGATCACAGCTCATGAAAAATTGAATATGGGTTGCTATTGATAATTAGTCACATATAGCTAGTGAATCATTATTAATAATCAACTTGCAGTAATGTGTTAATTACATTTTACTGTAAGGTTCAAATTGTCAAGTTGTTAGTAATTCTAATGCATTATGAAAAAAATTGCACAGATAAATGGTGTGACATTTTTATGGCTTTATAAGGCACGACTAAGCAGAAAAATGCTACAAATTCTACAAAATATATACATACATTAAAAATTAGTAAAAATATGTCAGAGAAGCATACTTTCTTTTAACTACAATAGATCTGGTAACCTTACTAACCTTTCCTACTGATTCTAAATTATTATACTAACTTGATTAGCCAAGGTGCTGAGATTTTGTACACTGCTTAATGTACATTTATTTAATCAGACAACCTTTGCTGAAGAAAACATTAAATTAGTATTTTTCATGTTAAAATAAACTACTTATTTCCTACACTAAAAATCATGTTTGATACTACTGTTTCTGCTAGAAAAGGGTGCTTACAAATATCAAATGGCTTCTCTAGTACAGCTGGAAAATACCAAGACGACTCTCGTAGCTGCTTTCAAATACACATTATGATTTCAAAAGAATTCAAAAACCACATGGGTGAGACATTAAAACTAGACATATTCAAAATTTGGAACAACTTTTTTGTAGTTGTTCAAAAAAACAACAAACTATCAAGAGCAGCAGCAGATTCTCCACCTTCACCAATACCAAATAGGTCTGATAGTTATAGTTTAATCAAACAAGTGACTGGGATCAAAGCGTGGGAAACTTGCTGAAATATATTGAATTGTGTCTTATAGGGGAAGTTAGACTAGATGATCTAAACATCACTACTTTAGCATACAACAATCAAAGAATTAACTGCTTTTATTTACGTTGATGAGAACTACATAAAAAAATCTGAGCATATAGAAACTACAATGTTATCTCAATAAATAAATGCAGATACCTAGATATTTGCTTTAAATAATATTTTTTTAAAATATCACTCATATACACTAGAGTAATTTTAGATCATACAACTGATCAGCAGCATATGAACTGAAATATAACATCTTACACAAAACCAAATGGAACAAGCCAGATAATTTTGAATTTCTGTGTTCTGGCAAACAGCTTAATTGAAACATGTTTCTGCTTTGCAGCCATATAAGACTGAAACAGAAAAAAAAAGTAATCTTAGTTCATTAGTTTTGCAGTGGCTTTGAACTGGTACAGGATACTTAGATTATATAATTTTACCACTTCTGTGCTTGGAAATTGAAAATTATCATTACTAGGAGAAATAATAATTTGTTTTTATTAATTTCCTGAAAGAAATATTAAAGCTTAACTATTTAATTCCATATAATTAAACAGGTCCTATGCTATGAAGCACTTTATGCTTTTTAAATTAAACATTCCTTTTATATTTTAGTGGTAAGTTAGGGCTCCTGACTATCAAACAGCAGGCTACATAATGAAATGAGAAAAAAAATCTTGTTAAATGAACGTTCTTAAGTTACTACACATTTTTCAGTGTTCTGTTTCAGTTCCTAAATTTCAACATTCTTGATAGAGCACAGTTTAAGACAATGATGAACATCATGTTCATTCCAGAAAATTGTATAAACTAGAGTTGGAAGAGATTACCCTTCCAGCCAACACAAGCTTGTAAAGGTATCTTATTTGTTGGAGCTTTTACAGTATCACTATTAACAAATGAGGCAGTTCATCAAGGTTCAAGGAAAAAAAAAACCTGTATTTAACCCTTACTCCCAGCCAGTGTCCCAATAGTTATTCTTTACTGAGCGCTGAAATGGAGAGTCACATTGGAGATCCAGCATTTCAGGACTGCCAATCTGATTCTAGCACTAATGGCAAAGAGTATGATAAAAAAGTTCAACACAACATTAAACTGATACTCAGACGATTCATGTCCTTTTTCCTAGGAATTCATTAGCTGTTCTGTAACAGAAACTACTGTTTTCTCTTAAAGCCATTGAAGTAATGCAGGGGAAGAGGGCTCGTTGCACTACAAAATATGTGCCCACATCCTGCTCTAAAGCTGAGCAGGGATAAAACTTAAATGGCAGCTTCATGTTACGTACCCACACCGCTCTTTTCCTTGTCAGTCTTGCGCCATCGCGCCATTGCATGTGTGCTGGCAGGCTCCAGAGGATGCCAGCTAACAGGAAAGCCACTGGATGGGAGCAGGAAACTGCAGGAGTCGTGTGAGGGAGGCACTTGGAAGCAAGAGCTGATTCCACAGTCACTGATGGAATAGGGGAGGCTGGTTGGTGCAGCTGCTACTGCTGTGTGCTTTGCTGCTGCTGTCAGAGCTTCCTGCCTTCCTTCCTCTTTTTTAAAACTCAGACTGAGAAACTTAGTCAAAAGTGTCATGCCTGCTGTGGGGGAGGGGACATCTGATTTGGGTACTTTCATAACATGACTGCAACAGTGACAATAATACAAGGACTATAAATCACATATAACCAAACCCAAGACTCTCCCTCCCAGAACCCTTCCAACTCAATGACTGGTCCCATATAGGCGAGAACTCTTGAGTGCAAAACCTGGTTAAAATATTAAAGCTGTTAATGATAACCATTTAAAATCTTGTGCTACAAGATTGAACATTTTCTTCCAAATGTTCCCAAATTGTGTTATAGCCTTAAACTCCTTCAACTGACTGAAAAAGACTTTAATTCTGGCATGTTTCCCTATTCTATAAACTTTTTAAAATTGTATACACATTCCAAGTTTCAAAGTTCCCTCCATTTTGGTTATTAAATTATATGATTTTCATTGTAAAGCTGCAAAACCACAATTCTAGAAGAATGTAGAATACCCCCTGTAGTTACAACATGATTTTACATGACTTGATCTTTAAAACATACATACAATTACATCCCTTATAAAAATGACTCCCTTAAAAAATGCATAAAAACACAATTACATACAAAGACATAATCAAGGTGGTCAAAATGAGTTTGGAGAACAAGAAATTAAGGTTATCATAAGTAGCCTCACCTTAACCCATATCTTGGGATTTTATTTTCTTTTTTAAGGATAACTGAAATTGATTGGAATCCTTTAGATGAAATTCTCCCTCTTTTGCCTTCTCCCTCTCTCAAAGAATTTGATCTTTAGTGTCTGAGGATTACATCAAACTCCTAAACTCCTCCAGTCCACTGACCACTACCCTATGCTCCTTATCCATGTGGGTACCAATGACATGGCTTGGAACCCTCCCAGCCAGGTCATGAAGCACTAGAGGGATTTGGGAGAGGGGCTTAAGAGGTTGGGGATGTAGGGTGTTTTCCTTGATTCTTCTGGTTTGGGGCTATGGGATGAGGAGGGAGAGGCAGACTGCGGCGCTGGTGTCATCAGGAAGGCTCTGGCTTCCATGACCACAGCCTGCTCTTTGGTGAGAAAGGTAGCGAGCTGCTGGGAAAAAACAGCCTCCACCTCTCTCCGCTGGGGAGGAGGCTCTTCTCAGCCAGACTGGCTGACCTGCTCCACCGGGCTTTAAACTAAGTCCGCTGGGGGACAGGGGAACTACTGCCACTGCTGGCCTGCTGAGCAACGCTTGCAAAGCCAGCAGGCCACGGCGCTCTAGGGACCCCCCCCCTGCCCCAACCGTGGAACAACCGGTAGGCAAGACAAGGGCCCCCAAGGGGACGCTTGCATGCCTGTACATGAATGCCAGGAGCTTGAGGAATAAACAGGAAGAACTTGTCTTCCTGCTCAACACAAACAACTGCGGTGTCATAGGGATAATGGAGACCTGGTAGGACTGCATCCATGACTGGACCACAGGTATAGATGGGGCTATACCCTGTATAGGAGGGATGTGGACAAAAGGGGCTGGCCAAATCCGAATGGTCGCAAAGCTTCCTCGCATGTGTGGATGAGCTCTATCTGACGCAAGAAGTCTACGGGCCAATGAGAGGTAAAGTGCTGCTCAACCTGGTACTGGCAACTGGGGACGACCTAATCAGTGACCTAATGCACGAAGGAAAGGTGGGTGACAGCGACCACGAGCTGATCACCTTCACCATCCACTGAAAAGCTGGTAAGTCAGTCAGCAGTACAGAGGACCTCGACTTCAGGGGACCTGTCTTTGACAAGCTCAGGAGACTTGTCGGTGATGCCCTAAGGGACCATGACCCCAAGGGGAGGGGAGTCCAGGAAGAGTAGTTGCTCCTCAAGTGAGTGATCCTATATGCACAAGCTAAGGCTATTCCGTCTCAGAGGAAAGGCAGCAAAAGGGCACAGCAGCCCCCTTGGCTCAACAAGGAACTAGCAGACATCCTGCATCCAGAAAGAAAGACCTACAAAGGATGGAGGACAGATCCACCTCCAAGGAGGAATATACTGCAGTGGTCCAGACCTGCAGGGAGCAAACCAGGAAAGACAAGACTGGGATGGAACTCCAACTGGCTACAAGTATCAAGGACAATAAAAAGTCCTTTTTTAGATATGCGGGGACCCGGAAGAAAAGCAAGGGCAACATTGGACCCCTGCCAGAAGGGACAACTGACGAACAACGCCCAGGAAAAAGCCAACTTATTAAATGCGTACCTTGCGTTGGTCTTTCACAAGTCCCATGGGATGGCCCTGCCCATTACAGGACAGGGACACCTGGGTGAGGGAGATTCCTTGCCCTCCATCAATACTGACCTCGTGAAGGAACACCCTGAGAGGCTGGACACCTTCAAGTCAGCTGGCCCTGACAATTTACACCCCAGAGTACTCAAGGAGCTGGCCAGCATCATAGCCCAGCCCCTGGCATGGACCTTTGAGAGCTCCTGGCGCTCTGGTGAAGTGCCTGATGATTGGAAGAAGGCCAATGTGGTGCCTATCTTCAAGAAGGCGAGGAAAGTGGATCCAGCAAACTACAGACCTATCAGCCTGACCTCTGTTCTGGGGAAGGTCTTAGAAAAGATTATCACAGAGGCCATTCTTAATGGACTAGCCAATGGCAACATCCTGAGGGATAGCCAGCATGGCTTTGTTGCTGGTAGGTTGTGTTTGACCAATCTCATTTCCTTTTATGACAAGGTGACCTATCACCTGGACAAGGGGGAAGAGATTGATGTCATATATCTTGACTTCAAAAAAGCCTTTGATCTGGTATCCCATGATCACCTCTTGGCAAAACTGGCCAACTGCGGCCTTGGGTCCACCATGATCCGCTGGCTGGGGAATTGGCTCCGGGGTCAGGCCCAGAGGGTGCTGGTTGACGGAAGTCAATCGTCATGGTGCCCTGTGACCAGCGAGATCCCTCAAGGCTCTGTCCTTGGACCTAAATTGTTCAACATCTTCATCAATGATGTGGGCATTGGAGTCAGAAGTGGACTGGCCAAGTTCACCGATCATACCGAACTTTGGGGTAACGCATCCACACCTGAGGACAGGGGGGTAATTCAGGTTGACCTTGACAGGATCAGGAGATGGGCGGATGAAAACGTGATGGTGTTTAACATCAAAAAATGCGAGGTTCTCCACTTTGGGAAGAAAAACCCGCAGCATGCTTATAGGCTCAGAAGTCCTACACTGGTTAGCACTATGGATGAGAGAGACTTGGGGGTCAGGACTGACCACAAGATGAACATGAGCCTTCAATGCGATGCTGCGGCTAGTAAAGCAAGCAAATGCTGGCTTGCATCCATAGATGCTTCTCAAGGAAATCCCGGGACGTCATTCTCCCGTTGTACTCGGCCTTGGTGAGGCTGCAGCTGGGAGTACTGTGTCCAGTTTTGAGCTCCACAATTCAAAAAGGATGTGGAGACGCTTGAGAGAGTCTGGAGAAGAGCCATGCACATGATCAGAGGTCAGGAAAACAGACCTTACGACGAGAAAGTGAGAGCTATGGGACTCTTCAGCCTGGAAAAGCACAGGCTCAGGGACGATCTGATGGCCACCTATAAGTTTATAATGGGTGCTTACCAGGATCTGGGGAAACGTTTGTTCACCAGAGCACCCCAAGGGATGACGAGGTTGAATGGTTATAAACTCCTGCAAGACCGTTTCAGGTTGGACATAAAGAAGAATTTTTTTACTGTCTGATCCTCCAAGGTCTGGAATAGCCTCCCGCTGGAGGTGGTTCAAGCACCTACTTTGAATGCCTTCAAGAGCAATCTGGATGTTTTTCTTGCTGGGCTCCTATGACCACAGCTGACTTCCTGCCCCTGGGGAAGGGGGCTGGACTCAATGATCTTCCAAGGTCCCTTCCAGCCCTAATGTCTATGAAATCAATTAGCATGTAACCAATGAAAGACATTTTCTTAAAAAATGGAAAACATCTTATTACAAAAATAAACTAATATATTGCATAGGCCCCCATATAATTGAGGTAAAGTCTTAGTGCAAGATAGTACAAGAGAAGAGAAGGGCGAGATGAGGGAGGAGAAGCGAAGAGTTAAATGCTGACAATCCCGGCACCTCAAATCTTCATTTTATCCATGGACCAGATTGCCAAATCCAAACTAATTTTGCTGCAGGCAATGCGATGTAAACATTAGGGGTGAACCAATAGAGATTTTTGGAGCCGATACGGCTAGCAGATTTTTAAGGAGACACGTTGGCTGATATGGATCCGATTTCTAATACAGCTGCATCTAGCTGTTAAGTCTGTTGTGGTAGAAGGTGAGGTGGGTAGGAAGGGGTGTGGGGGGGGCAGATTAACACCCCTTGGGGTGAGGGAAGGAACCAGGCTGGAGCTGGGACAGGCTCTGCCCAGCCAAGGCAGGGCAGGGTGGGAGTGGGACAGAGCTGTGGTTCGTCCAGAGGGCGTGGGGATAGGGAGCAGATCCCACCACTGCGTGCACCCCGGGATGGCACGGGGCGGGGGCGTGTGCCCCCTGGTCTGCGTGAGGTGTGGCGGGCTGCAGTTGTGGGCTGGAGACGGGGGCTGCACTGGACTCAGGGTGGTGCTGAGAGGGGGACTATGGGGGGGACACAGAAAAATTTGCGTTGGCTGCAGCCCCCCTCAGCACCACCGCTGCCCACCCCAAGCACAGCATGGCCTAGTTCCTGCCAGGAAGAGCTCAGTGCAGCCCCTGGCCCCAGCCCTCAGCTGCTGCCTGCCCTGCCTGACGCAGATCCAGGGCCACATGCTCCCCCTCCCCCATGCCCTCCAAAGGTACATGCAGCAGCGGGAGCCACCCCTCCTCCCCCAAACCCCCACAGTGATCTACAGCTCCGTCC